TTTTTTTTTTTTTTTTTTTTCAGGGCTTATATTTCACAACTGCTTAAGTTGTGTTTATAACTGCGATGATCTATCATACCTTCATATCTTTCTCCGCAGTTCAAATAGTATGATCTTTCATATATTTACTTGTATTTGTCATAATTAATAACATGTCACAAGGTGTTTTGTTAGTCTCGGTAATTTATGTAGTCACTGTACTTCAAAATGAATAACGCATAAAAATGTTGTCGCCGGTTCATTTGTTTTCTTAGTGTGAAACCATCCTCACGTTCTGAATGTGTAATTACAGGGTTAGGTCAGTCATTAACTTATAATTTATTATGATTTGTCACTCAGTAGACTTCTTTTTGGAATCGGGTACCTCTTGGCAAAAAGTGTTAGTCAGTGACATTCATTTCAATGCCAAGTTTGATGAATTCGTCTTGACTGGCATGTCTTATTTAGAATCGAACCCTGAAATAGAGAATATGACGTGTACTTACGGGGAATGCTTGTTCCATGCAGGATAAAGCCTCCATACATGTAGGTCTTCCAGACTTCCACTGGCTTGTTTCCGAATATGGCCAACGCTGATGTCACTGCATCTGGGAGGCTTTGGTCAAATGTTAGGTGAAAGTCTTCGCCGCCCTTTGTGGAAAACAAGAATTAATCGGAGATCAATCTAGGGATCGCACAGTAAGTGTCACTAGTTCAGTCTCATGGAAGTTCGAGAAAGAGAAAAACTAAAATATCTGACGGGATACGAAACTGCAATGATAAGCCAAAGACGAGTGATTTAGAAGCCTTTTAGGGCTAATTTTAAACCTGAGGTTTGTATTGTGTTAACCTGCAGTAAGCGACCACTTGAAACATATCCGGTTACACTACACGAGGAGCGAAAACTGGAAAACGAGACGTCTCACAACCCTAGTATAACAATGCAGGTTGTTATAACCTTACTATGACACTGTTAGTATCGTGGCCATGAATTCTGTAGTGTGTACGGTTTTTTAACTGTTTTTCGCAAAGAAATACCATTGGAACTTGATGACACGCGGGGAGGTGCACAGCCTTTTTTAACAAGTGATAGCGTAGCTAGAGGGAGTTATAGCAGTTAGGTGGGAAAGAAATCTGCACTCACTGAGTCAGTCGTGTGGTAAACTTTTTTGTGGTTATTCCGCTGACTAGTGTATTGCGCGAGAGGGGCCACATTTACACGATTGTTGTGAACAAAATGACTGCCAAAGTGATTAACTAATCGTTTTGCATTCGAACACCTGCTCGGCCAAATTATAGACTATTTGATATCCAAGAAAGGTTGGTGTACCAAATGACTTGTTTTACTGGCCATGTTATCTATTCATGGATAGTTATAGATGCTGCACGGGTTTCTCTCTCTCACTCTCCACTGTGGTCAGGAGATCGCTCGGCGCATGGACTCGCTTGTTTGTTTTGAGGGAAAATTTTCTGATCAGGTACTTGTAAAAGTTATCAGACAAAGCGCAGGGTTCGCAGTTGTAAAACCTTTGCGATTCGCCATTTTGGTCGGTTTGGGGCCTGCTCTCGTATGAGTAATTTCTAGCGGAGCTCCGGCGGCCCGAAGAACCGCCAAGCGGAGCCCCATACTCATATAGGAAAGAAAAGGAAACCCATGAGTTGATTTTCTCATGGTTATCATGGCTAGCGGTATTGCTCGTGGGCGCGTACGCACGACGGCACAACATGGCAATGATAGGTTGACCGAGACATGCAGCCTTGGTTTACTGTGTACTTCTTTGATATTAGACATCCATGTTATGGTCCCATTGACACCTGTCAAAACAAGGTATCCGCTGACCAGTATCACGTGATCATATCGCGAGCTCGTTTACAGCTCACGTTCACGTGTTTTTTTTAAGTTGACCGCTGACCAAGTGCTGGTTTTCGATTGGATCGCGGGCTCATGTCAGATTAACTTGTTGAAAACAGGGCAGGATTGTTCGGAAGCGGGTTAACGCTAACCTAGGATTAAAATTTAACCGATATATAACTTTTTCTTCTATACAAATTTTTTTTTGCTGTTTTGTTTTGTGTATCCAGGAGCCATAATCTGGGATGGAGACCGTAAGTCTTGGGATCCACGCGCACCTATGATATGGGACGATTTTTCTATTTTTAGAACAAATTGCGCCATCATGACGTCATATATCCGCGCGGATCCACGCACATGGGTGCTCTCGCGTGGATGTTGTCACGTTGCGTGATCAAATGGTGAGAGTCGCGAGATTCTCTTGTAGATTTTTCACAGCGATGGCAGGGAATATGGCAGGGAATGAGACCCAGGGCTCTTATATGTAGTTTTATGCTCTCAGCTAACGGAAAAGGTGAATTTTTCAGGGTCGAAAACATAACTTCAATTTCGCGCTGTGAATGAATAATATCTGCTCGCGCTAGTTGTACGTGTAAGCTTTTGCGTTTGTTCTTTAAAGAAAAGTTATGTGAGGAAACTTTACTCTGGTATCGAGTTCATTCGTGAATTTCCCAAACAATGCTTAATCATAACCAAACCCTGTTTTTGATAGTTTCTTATTGTTTCTGTTTGTTTGGCGAGTTTGCAAAAGTTTTTGAAAGGAAAGTCTGACGCGTACATTAAGTAGCTCATTTGCATAGTGCAGCGCGTTCACTTTCAAATCCGAGTCAGTGTTTTCAATTTTCTACAAATCTTGACAAAGATTTCTTTTGCTGTCTTTTCTGCCGAGATGCTGCAACAATTTTCACTTAAGTCAAAAGGCTACTAACATCATGTGTCTTTCTTTAACATAGTGAAATTTTACACTGCGAAAATAAAATAGACAACGAGTTTTGATAAAGCAACCAACAAAATCGAAATCTTTATTCGAGTTGATTAAAGAAAGCGTCATCGTAACTTTGCTGATTATTTCTGCTGTATTCGCATCTTTTCAGCTAAGCTTTTAATATGTTCTCAAACATTTATATCAACCTTAAACGTATTTAAGAACTAGAGATATTATATGAGTTCGATGTAAGTTTTAACACGAAAGTGTGGAAGTCCAATTGTCATGTTTTACTGATTGTACAAAACATGCATCGGCAGACGCTCTTATTCATCGACAACAGACAATTTATTGGATTTTTACACAAACAAAACTGAGCAGCATCCACAGACATAAACTTTATTGTCACTTATTGGGCCTTGATAAAACTTCAAGCGTTGCTTACAATTCAGGCGAAACTCAAACTTGCAATTATTATTATTTTTTTTACTTTTCGGTCGAAATAGACTGGTGAAATCCTCGCAAGCGTGTGGTAAGAGGAGGGAAACTTTGAAGTCCCGAAACGCTGCTATATCCAAATATATCCAACTAGTTTTTTGCTGTGTTATGNGCTTAATCATAACCAAACCCTGTTTTTGATAGTTTCTTATTGTTTCTGTTTGTTTGGCGAGTTTGCAAAAGTTTTTGAAAGGAAAGTCTGACGAGTACATTAATTAGCTCATTTGCATAGTACAGCGCTTGCACTTTCAAATCCGAGTCGGTGTTTTCAATTGTCAACAAATCTTGACAAAGATTTCTTTCGCTGTCTTTTCTGCCGAGATGCTGCAACAATTTTCACCAGAGACAAAAGGCTACTAACATCATGTGTGTTTCTTTAAAATAGTGAAATTTTACACTGCGAAAATAAAATAGACAACGAGTTTTGATAACTCAACCAACAAAATCGAAATCGTTCTTCGAGTTGATTAAAGAAAGCGTCATCGTAATTTTGCTGGTTATTTCTGCTATATTTACCTATTTTAAGCTAAGCTTTTAATATGTTCTCAAACATTTATCAACCTTTGAAACATATTTAAAAACTAGAAATATTATATGAGTTCGATGTACGTTTTCATACAAAATTTTTCATGTTTTACTGACTGTACAAAGCACTCATCGGCGGGCGCTTTTATTCATCGACAACAGACAGTTTATTGGATTTTTACACACAAAAAAAACTGAGCAGCATCTACAGACATAATCTTTATTGTCACTTATTGGGCCTGATAAAACATCGAGCGTTGCTTACAATTCAGACGAATCTCAAACTTGCAATTACTATTTTATAAATTTTCGGTCGAGAGAGACTCTACGAAATCCTCGCAAGCGTGTGGAAAGAGGAGGGAAATTTTGAAGACCTGAAACGCTGCTATATCCAAATATATCCAACTAGGTTTTTGCTGTGTTTTAGAAATGCTGTTAATCTTCAACATATGTGAAACTTAGAGTGGAATAATGTGGAGCTCTTGTAGAAGAATAAAAGAAGAGCGGAACACAACTTGGTCAGTGATATAAAACGGCGCATAACTAAATTCGACACTGTCTTACTTCACTCAAACTGGAACAGCTTACGACGAAAATGCTGAAGTAAACTTCCAACAGACATGAACGTATTGAGTTGTGGGCCTAAAGCATCAAACATTTCAGGAATTTCGGACGCCACTTCCCGCGCTACATCAGCAAAAACCCTCGCAGCATGTACGCGCGTGTGCCGCACGGGATGGAGCAATTTGTTCTAAAAATAGAAAAATTGTCCCATATCATAAGGACAGCCCCAATACTAGAAATGGTGCGCGCTTACGGTCTCCGTCGCCGATTATGGCTCCTGGTTGATAACAAACTTTTTTCAAGGTTATGTGATCGGAAAATAAAAAGACTTACTTTCAAATGAACCCGCTGTGACGATCATATAAAAGTCGACACTAACTCAATGTTCATTTTGTCAATTGTGTGAAAAAGCGGCGAAAATTTTTCCTGCTTCTTCCTACCAGCCCTTCTGAATAGAGCTCAAAAGAAATTCACCTTTTAGTCGAAGAGGTAAAATATTTAAAATTTCCCAAAACGGTTGTTTCCACTTTAACAGCAGAAAAAAAGGGACGATTTAGATTTGAATTTGAATTTCAATTTAATGACGGAAAAATAACGCATTAATACTCCCAATTTCTGATTAGTTTTCGGATAAACGTTATTATTAGTAAAGTAAATTCCGAGAAAAGCAGCCTTACGGACAAATACCTCATTCAGTTTTAACAGAAACACATTAAAGGAAAGGTCTTAAGCTTGCGCTAATATTTTAGACATAAATATTTGGGAAGGCGAATGCATGTACGACTTCGGTGTCCGCCGAATTAATTAACCTGCAAGAACTTCAGACCCGTCTTCAGTTTACGCTGTTATTAGGAAGGCGCTTCTGGTGAATTTTGTTCAACTAAGCTGTTAAAATTCACACTGTAAGGGAAATATATTTGAATATAAATTTGATCACCAAACAATATACAGAAAACGTCACCGCAAAATTGCAAAACCCAAATCAAAATTCTACCTTTTCCTGGGTTAGCTTAAGCGGGCTCTGAACAACCCGGCCCAGAGGCTACGCTTTTAGGCTGGCCTAAAGCTATATATTATCTTATGAATTCTTTTAGTGCAGTGAATGAATGAAGATGTTTGTAATAATTCCAGTCCTGAGGACATGCACAGAAACATCGATATCAGAATAGCCCTCGACTTGCTGGGGTAATTCTAAAGGCGAGGAGATGTATTATAAAATGTGGATTTTATTATTCAGGCGTCAGTGACTAAAAATACACTCACCCAGTGTAATTTGCACTCACCCAGAAAGATACCTCCCCTCCCCCAAAAAAATCTCTGCAATGATTCACAACCATGTTTGTTAATTTTGCACTTGTAAGGGTTATCCATATTTAAGCTTAAATAATTTCCCAAAAATGAAAATCGTGCTCGCCAAACGGACGAGTGATTGATGATTTGTACTCTCGGCCGACGCTTTTCACACTCGCATTGAGCGGGCAAGCGATAGCGAAGTCACTACAGCAAGGTCAAAGTTTAAGATTTTCTCGTTAGGATCGAATGTTCGAGGTTAAAAAGTTGTTTAATATAAGGCGTTTTGCTTTGTTTTGCAAGCCCGTAATCGTTCCGTGGGCGTTGCGGTGGAATAATGCCCTACAATTAATTAGCCAATCAAATTGCACGTTATATCGGCTGCAAGAACAAGCCATATTCTAATGTAATGTAATACGATTTAGCAAAGGCTAAATATTTGACTGGAAGAAGAGACTGAGCTATGGAACTAGGATTTGGTAATAACCCTCGCAGCTCCTATCTTGAGATCTCTGTAGCTTATCAGAAAGTTCTTCCGATATTTATCTTACGCCGGTCTAGAGAAGTAAAAATTATAATGTGTAATTAGGTGTCGACACCAACGTAGAGTCTCGCTGTTTTTGTTATTCCTATCCCCTAAGGCGCCGCTTTCTTTCAAATTTTCTTGATAAATTAACCAGGAGGGTTTGACGTTGTTTGTTTTGTTATAAACATGTACTAAATCTGCATTGCACTGCAATAAAATTTGTCAGCACTAAAGTAAAACCACTTATTCAGTCTATTAGTAAGATCGTCTTTTCAACCTTAGACTCTATTTCCGTCAGCAGTATTTCTTCGTATAGACAGAAGCACGAAAGCTGAACTGACATCAATTTGAAGTGTGAAGATACAGTACGTAACATACTAGTCAAAACCAAAGTTTTTACATAAAGAACTTTGTTAAAAGATTTCCGTCAGCTCTACTGGTGAAGACGCACTTAATCTGAACTCGTATTTACTGCCATTTTTGTGCCTGAGATAATAAATTCAGTCACAGATCAGTGTATACGTTGACTTCCATAGCGACGTCGTTGAGTTCAAAAAAGAGCGATTTGTGTTTATGACGTGAAAGTGACTCTTCGATTGATCACAAACTTTTAAAAGGCTATTTCTTCAAAAGCGTAAATCAGTCCAACGGCTTTCCGCTCAACCCTGCACGTTTATTCAATTTTCACGTGGCTGATTAGACGAAACATGTTTCTTTACTAGTGAAAGCTCATCCGTCGCGCTTGTGATTGGCTAAAGCTTTGAATCAGTACGCGGTTTGTTTACCACGATCAATTCGTGAGCAAATCTCAGTAACTGTGAAATAAAAAGGTTTATGCACAAATATATTTATGGTTCAGGTTGGCAACTTGTCTCAGAAGGTCAGTCAGTGAAATCGTACATGCTAAAGTGATGAAGACGGATTCCGCTCAAAGTTCGAGCAATAAGTGCAAAAATTATTTACTAAAAATCTACTCACAGCACAGCAAGGTTTTGAATACTATTTAAAACATCTCACTGTAATTCATTTTTCTAGGTGACCCTGCGATCAAATCCAATGTCAAACCTAGTAAAAATGCCTAATGCGTGCGTTATTGTGTTTTCAAATAACGCGAAACGTCCGTTTTTATTGAAATATGGATAACTTCAAATTCAGTTTCCTCTTACGGGGTCAGCTTGAGAGCTAAAGTCTCGATAAGATTTTCTTACCTTAAATCAAAATATCACCATGCTATAAGGTCTTTTTTTGGTAACTTTATTTTTGCCATTATTGCTCGAATGTTCTGCGGAAATCATCTTAATAATATATCACCTCTAGAGGACCTTGGGTAGGTTTTATTTTTACACTAGCCTCTGTTGGAATACTATGTGGCTGATCCAGGGCTTGGTCCACAGACGAGCTCCCTATACCACAAATAAAAAGTTAAAAAACGTCCAGTAATCGTAATAGAACAAAACATCATATTTTACTTCAATGGTCTCCTGACATTTTCAGTGATCTTCAGTCAATTAGACTTGACTGAAGACTTCACTTACCACAAATGAAAGTTAACAAAAAAGTTCAGGTTACTTAGGTGATCATAACACCACAAAACATCATATTTTATTTCAATGTCTCCATTTTCAGTGATCTTCACTCAGTCAGACTTGATACTTCACAGTCTCGTTGTTTTGCTGAGATTTGGAAGTTGGCTGGAAAAACTTGAGTTTCAAATATTATGCAAACAAGAGACATTGTTCCTTAAATTCTAGCATGTTCTCCAGTATACATATTTTTTTAAAGTAGACTTTAAACTTTTTTAATAAGGCGCTTAATACTCTTCGTTAACGGTTGACGTGAGTGTCGAAAAGTAATGGCCAGTTTTGCAATTTTTTCGCTACAGATTGGCTCAAAAAAATTGGGCCACTTTTTCATCCAATCACAAGTAAAACCAAAACCAATCACGACTCGCTCGCACACGTTTCGCGTCAGCTACCTGTGTTTACGTCGAATTTTAATTGGTTTACTGGATTGTCTGTGTCACTTATGATTGGCTAGAGTGATAACTTTGGTTTTGGTTTTGCCAGTCATTTAACTGAAAACCGCTCTATCAAGTAATTGTTAATTAATAAGACTTTAATAGCAAAGCTTGCGAGTGACGTCATAACTCAGACAAACTCAGACAAACAAGACGGAATGGTAAAAGATTTGACACTTTTTCCAGCACGTAAGCAAGTGTTCCTAAAACAATTTTTAAAACGAAAATTTGGCGTTCATTTTCCTCCTGTTTCTCTCAGAACACGCTTATGTTGTCTGACTCTCGCGGGGTTCCAACAATTTGCGTTCTATTTTTAGACTTCGCAAACTTCCTTATTGGCACTATTTGAAATCTCTTCCATTAATTAACGGGATTTTCAAAATGTAAATTTCAAATCTCAGTTAATGTATGTATTTTAATATCGTATGGTAAGGCGCAGTTAAATATTTTTATAGAAGCTAGTATGCAGTGTAAACTTCAATGATTATTATTTAGCTCTTATTAACCGAGCTGGAGGTCTGTATGGGAGAATCTTGACCGAGGTCGTGAGTACAGACCGAACGCAGTGAGGTCTGTACACAC